ACTTGCGAATATATTGAATATATTTTTAACCGGATATTTTTATCTACCTCGGTCTATGGACAACAGGGTATAAAAGCCTTCATTACTCTTTGAGAGGAGAAGTGAGAATCTTGTGTTCAAGGGCCTTTTAACTTGAATTATCTTATTCATTCTTCTGAGCTAACCAATAAACCTCACAATTGATTCTGCCATTCCAGCAAAAATTTCATCAACAGCCAAATGACAATCTGGGCAATGAGAATGAACTCCTCTGAAAAGAGTTTGAGTTCTTATTTGAAACTTGCACTCCAAAGGCTGCACAATTCAATTCCTTTGTCTGGGATCCAATTTACCCATGACAAGGTTTTTAGCTCTAATCAGCTAGAGAATTGGCAGTTGTGGAAAGAATTCTGTGTTTCAGTTTTTGGGAGGAAGAAGAGAAAGGAGGAAAGTGCTTTTTCTTGAATGGGTTTTTATATGCTTTTAATTGGCTGATTTCTTTCAACACATTGAAGATGATGCTGCTGCATGGTTTTACAAGTCCTTTGGGACTTATTCTTTGGTGCTGGGCTCTTTATATAAGCCCCAGCACCGGTTTCTTTGGGATGCAACTGCTGGAGGATTAACCCCTGTGCAGCAAAGTTGGGATATATTAGCAAAATTTTGTGTCACTGAGAAGAGTGAGAACTGTGAATTTAAAAAATGCAACTTTTGTACAAAGGCCTAAGATGGGAAAAAGTCTGACTTTTTTTTCTAATCCAGCAGAAAATGTTGGATGAAAATTAAAAGAAATCCTTCACTGGGAGGCATTTTTCCTGCATTCCTGGCATAGGATCAGCATGGAAGATTCCTGAAAAAAAGAGAATTTGTCTCAGGGATTTTTCCTGACTTAGGCCTTCTTAACCTGTGAGCATTTCATCTACCTTGGGTCAAACTGAAATGCTCCACCCCTGGAAAATATCCTGACTTATTTGCCTCACAATGGAAATGAACCGTTGGCCATCCTAGGGTTAATAAATTAAATCATTTCCTTGTGCTGCAGTCCCCAGCAAACACAAGACTTCTGAAAAAAATTATTTTCTTTTGTTGTAGCAAAAAAAGATGAAAGAGACGCGCTTTACTTCAAAGACGGCAAACTCGACAAACAAAAGCTTGTCAAATATATTATGGATGTGAAAAAATACCCAGGAATTTCAAACGAAGACGCCGCCATTCTCGCTGCAACCAAGTAAGTTTTAATGCAATTTTTTTTTCAACTTTCGTGGCCGCACAATTAAGTTCCCGTAAAACTGCAAGTTCGTCCAACAGCTTCAAATGTGGTAAAATTATTTGTACTTTGGACAGAAGCGATATTTTCGTTGAGCTCTGTGAATTTAAAAATAATACCGTGATCAGCTAGTGACCCAAGTTTCGAGATTTTAAATGGCTGAGAATTTGACAACAGTATCAACGCATCGGATGATTTCCCTGCTGTATTCCCAAAATAAGTTGTCAGCTGTTGCCAATATTCTAGATATACTGTACATAGAAAGGATTGTCAACATTGAAGTACCGTACGTGAAAAGAGGGTTCCATATTTCTGTTTTTTTCCTTGAAATGAATGTCTGTTTCTTTTCTTTACATAAAACGAAAGATGGTACGATCAGTTTGCTCATGAAGTGGAATAACATATTGAAATGATACTCAGTTCTGGACTTGATCTACTTGCTCTCAAAATAAGATGAAAAATTTTTGAAATTTTTCTTTTCGAACATTTTTATAACTGTACGTTTTCTTCGAGTGTTGAAAAGTCTTCTTCTGGAAAGTTTTCCAAAGGTTTTCTTCATCAATAGTAGTATTCAAGAATTTTTTCAAGCATAAGATACAGTGCGTGTTCATAAGATACCGTGCGTGTTCCCAAATTATGCGTGGTTTCTAGGGCAATATTTCGTTCCGTAACATGTCATGATCCTAATTTTGTAGCGGAGAACAAATACCTAATGTCGAGGTATTTCTCAGCAATTTCTGGCAATTTTTCCGTAATCCACCCATAATTCTGGGTAAATTTGTTCACAAAGCGCGCAGAAATGTTTTATCTTGATAAACGACGATGAATAAATCAAATGAGATCAAAACTGATCCATTACACATTTTTAAAAATTCCCAAGTTGTGCACACGTCAATATAGTGGTGAGTTTAATGGGGTTTTCTGAAATATGCCATAATTTTGTTCTGAGAAAGCGTACAGAGTGGGCCAGAAAAAAGCGAACGGATTATTGACTTGAAATAGCTTGGTAGCAAAGCCAGCTGTGAAAAAAAAAAACTGTAAGCTTGTTTGATTCCCTTCCAAATGATATAAGTTTTATGGCCAAAAAGGCTTTAAAATGGTCACAATAACCATTTGAATGAAAACTTTCTACAAAAACAAATAGTTGTCAGGAAACTCCTTCCACTTAGCTGCTGTTCTCAAGGAAACAAAAAAATGGTTCAGGACCACTAATTTCACCAGCAAGCTTTATGCTGCCTTCAAGTGAGGGCAATAATCCCCAAAATTTAGGAGGTGGGAGTGAGAAGTGCACAAAAATTGCGCACTGGGAATCTTGCTGCACTCCCACAGCATGAAGATGAGAGCTTATGACTGCTGGGTGCCAGCCTCATATGGCTCCTGCGACTTTCTGCATGCAAATTTCTATGGTACGACTGGATTGCTGACACTGATTTAAAGTGAAAACTGATTTTGAATTAAACTGATTTTCAGTAAAATGAATTTTGAGCAATCCAGTCATGCTAAAAAAAATTGCATGCAGTGGGCAGTGGGTCACAGCTATATAGGGAGCTGCAAGGCCAGAGCCCAGCAGCTCCCATGCACAACCAGAGCCCTGCAGCATACTATCTTGCCAATTTCCTTCCCCCATTCCACCCCCTCCTTCTGAATTTTGGGAACATGTGCAGGATCTTCAAGACAGCATGAACATTGCTGGTTACATTATTGAATCCTGCATTTCCTTTATTCATGCAAACAGCTCTCCAAAACATCAGCATATTTGAAGAAGTTGCCTGACACAATTTTCTTGAAAGTTTTCATTAAAAGGGATATTTGACCATATGCCATATATGACAGTTGGGACCATAAAACCAAATAAAATTTGAAATAAAATTTAAAAAGCTTCCATTTGTTTATTTTTTTCCACTGCAGCTCAAGTTCCTCCCAAAATAGTGTAATTAAAGTTTTGTTCACTTTGTTTTGGTCCACTCCATATACAGTTGAACCTAGTACAAGTTTCTAGGGACCAACAAAGAATGTGTCTTTTATATAGAGGCTTATTTTGAGTTCAGGAGGTTTCTATAGATGAGGAAGCAAGCATTTTTTGTCATGGGAAACAGAAAAATGTACAGAATTTTAAATGGTGTATTCTGGGCCTTAAATTGTTTCTTGAATGAGTTGACAGGATGCTGAACTTGGACTACAGGTTTTCTTTGTCCAATTAGTCTTTCACTTTTTTTTTAAACACATCATTATTTTTATTTATTGCTTTTCTCTTTCGCTGTGTCAAGAAAATTATTTCAAAACAAACCTCAGAAAATCCAAGCTATGGAGATTTGATGGGGAAAGCCTTTGAGTTATGGAGGTTTTTAAAGCATTTTTTAGGGAATTCCGAATAAGACTTGAGAAAAATTTCACTGGAAAAGGTTTTAGTCCTTTTGGCTTTCTTGTAAATGTGGTTATTGTCATAAGAAATGGCATAAGAAACGGATGGTATCGCGTGTTTCCTATATATCATTGACTTTTTCTGTATTCAAAATGATAAATTTCAATATTTTACCTGGCTTCAGTTATTCACTCATTCATTTATTCACTTAGGCTCGTCGAATCCCAGCCGAAAAATCTCGGGTGGTACCGAGTGGCAGCGTCCCGAGCAATGACCGGCACCCGGCGCAGGCAACCTCTGCTCACCGAAAAACTAAAACTGGTACAGTACTGTAAAACGAAAATATCTTGCAATAATCTCAAAATTGATGGACGATCGACCATTGACAGGTTCATGAAGCAATGAAGAGTCATTCTGAAGCTGTGGATGTCGGAAACCTCGAAGAGAATGCCATTGAAGGAGACAAAGCCGTGATTGAGTTTTATGCTGCGACTTGCGCGGTCGCGGAGTCGCACGGAAAATTCGCTGTCGGGATTAGAAGACATGGACGAACAGACATTCCTGTTCAAGTCAGGTAGAAATGAAGTCCTTGAAATTCCGAAGCAAGACACGACTCCTTTTCGTCATTTATTTTGAATCTGGAATAAATTATTTCAGGGTGGAAACGATCGAAGGGACTGCGACTGCTGTCACCGACTTCGTCCCGGTCAATAAAATCGTGTCCTTCTTGCCCAATGAAACCGAACAAGAAGTATTCACTCTTCATCGAAATATATCTCTATAAATATCAAGAAATATTAATTCATTTATTTTTTGATGTTCCAAAAAAAAATTTATAGGTAGAAGTGGAAACTGTCTGCGACAAGCAATGGGAACCAGACGAAGAATTCTACTTGAAACTGTCTTTGCTGCCGTTGGACGCATTTGCGCATGACTCAGTCGTTCTGGGTCGATTATCAATAATGGAAATCACTGTTGTCAATGACGATGGTAATTTGATTTAATCCCTTCAATTTGCGGTTGCACAAAAAATGCAGTGAAGCCTTAAGCAACGAACCTAATCCGTTCCATGCAGTGGATGATTCGTTGCTCAAGGCGATCTTTATGTGAGGCATAATTATACCTACACTAAATTGATTAGTTGGTTCCAAAGTATAAAAAAGTATACCGTTTAAGAAGAAAAGGAAAACTATAAATTGTAGAAAAGACAAGAGTACAAAGCAAACGTCATCGGCATGTTTAGTACGTTTTAATTTAAAATTATTCAAAGCGTGCACAAGTAGAACCACGAAGAAAGTTCAAAGTCCTTCATGAGTTTAATTTCCCTTCGCATTCAATTTTTCAATCTGTCATTTTTCAATTTCGAAATGTATTTTCAGAAAGACACGAAATCGTCTACATTTTTACAATTTTTCTTAGAAGAAAATTCAGAGTTAAAATTTTTTTCACTTAACTCAAGGTTTTCTTCTCAAGTAAAGGGTGTTTTTTAAGACAAAATGGCTGCTGAAGTTGGGTTCTTTGTGTGAAATTGCCATTGCTAAGGGCATCCCTTGATCAGGGTCCCAATGTACTTCATTGATAGGGTGTATATGAAAGCAGCATTAGAACTAAAATTTCAGCTTTTTGACGAGACAGCTGCAAAGATCTTGGATTCTTCTTTATTTTAGCGAAGCCATGGAGAAATCGCCCTATTATATCGAAAAAAATCTGTACGGTTTTATTTAAGAAGAGAAATAATTTGGAGCAAGCCGTACACCTTGCAAGTACTTTTTGTGATGATTAAGAATTTAGGATGCTGTGGAAAAATGGTTGTTTTGATATCAGAGCTGAAAAGCAGTCTTAGGTCAGAAGAATGAAAAAATGATAGCAACACAGCAATTGGCTGGTGCGCAAACCAACCAGGGATTCTCTCCCCAACAAGCACAAGCCTTTGTTAGCAGATCAACAAACAGAATAGAATACAAAATATGCACAACAGTTTTTCCGCCGTAAAATATGCACAACAGATTTTTGCGGACTTGGTAAATTTCTCAGAGACTTTGAATTTTCATGAACACAACGCAACAAAAATGCTTTGACAGCAAAAATTGGACTGTGTCAAGTTTAATTGAAGCAAGGTTCAATTCCAGAAATGGAAAAATAGCATTTATAAAGTTTCTTTCATAATTCACCAATTCACTCAAGTGCAGGATTTGAAATAAACTAAAAATGCAGAGTTTTGTTTGTGAAGATAAATTTGATCAAATAGGATTGATCAGGAAATTGTACAAGACTTCTAACTTAGTTCCAGAGTTGGAAAAAGGTTTTAAACACTCAGAAAAAATAGATTTTTGCATGGTCCACGAATTTCCGAATTTGAAGCACACGAAAAAATGCCCAGTGACTCCCAAACTGTGACTGTGTTGTCACCCCAAAAATCAGGGGCTTATATGCTGAAAAAAGGGGCGGGGGAACATGGTACCTGCAGGGTGTCCCAGCAGCTGGGTGTTGGACCCAGAAAAATACCAGCACCTGGTGTTTTTTGGAACAGAGAATTTGAGAGGTTTGAAAAATGTTTTTCCCAAAAACCGGGTGTTTTGGTAATTTACAGGGATTTTTACAAGGCTGCACATGGTTGTTGGGATTGAGACAAATTGTTTTTAGGTGGCAGGAAGGAGATGTTTTCACAGTAGACAAAATCAGGGACTAGACGCGAAAAAAGAAGTTAACGTATTACAGGGATTTTTACAAGGCTGCACATGGTTGTTGGGATTGAGACAAATTGTTTTTAGGTGGCAGGAAGGAGATGTTTTCACAGTAGACAAAATCAGGGACTAGACGCAAAAAAAGAAGTTAACGTATCGAACGTCAGGAGATACAAGCAGACGACCAGCAGCTGGTGAAGTCTGGTCTCACTTTCAAGACACTTGATCTTCTCGACAAATGGTTGGGATGGGGGTTATTTGGTGCTCGGGCAAGTCGTTGGCCCCAAAGATGGGTTTGTATTTATTATCGGCAATTTTTGTAGGGCTGTGACACTTTTGTTTTACGGCCCTGTTGAAGGGATAATTTGCTGCTACAGGCGCGTCCCGGGACGCGCCAATTAACAAAGACTCGTAATTTCTGAACTTCCTCTGTTTTCAGAAAAAATTCCGCACATATATAGGGACAAGGAATGGAAAAGAAGTGGTTATTACTATAGTCTTGTGTGAGAAATTTAATTGTTGGTGTAGGGATAATATTTTTTTTGTAGAAGACTTTTTTGTACAGAATAGGAGGACTGTGTGAATGACTGTATACTTTTTTTTTTTTTAGCAAAATGTTACAGAAGTAAAGTCTGGGTCATTTTATTGCTGAAGTACAGTAAATGAAAATGTTCACTAAACTTCTCTGAAAATCACATTTGACCAGAAATAGTCTGAATATAAGCTTAGGAATGATTTTGCTCTTTCAATTGTGTATTTGTGATATGGAAAATCGAGTCTTCCAAGTTTTTTTACAACACTTCATTTTATCATCCTTTTTTGTATGTTAGATGTGGAGATGAAGGGTTAATTATAGGAATGAATTTGGCATTTAAACCATGAAGAAGTTGTTGGAATTCACAAATTGATCCACTGTTGGCACAATAATGCCATTAATCAAAATGGAGTACAATTTCCTTTTGTACTTATGTTTCTGCTGGGGGTGCCTGAAATATTTTATTCATGGTATACAGTGGTACTTCACTGTACCTCAGAATCCAGTAAATGTTGAATTGATGCATGTCAACGGCCATACCACGTTGAAAGCACCTGTTCTCGTTTGATCACGGAAGTTAAGCAACGTTGGGCCCGGTCAGTACTTGGATGGGAGACCGCCTGGGAACTCCGGGTGCTGTTGACTTTTTAGTTGTTTATTTTGAGGAAAAAGACAATCTGTAACTGCATGGAAGCATCAGATCTTGCACATCTTATTTATTTAGTCGACCAGATGCTATGGTCATTATAGTGGCCAATTTTGATTTTCAGAATTTTCTATTACCTTCACGGTGTGTTCAAATTAGCTACAGTTTTGACTTGAACTTATTGCTGTTAAAACGGCAGTTCGTTTTCTGGATCAGGTTTTTTTTAAATTTTTTATTCTCTGTTTGCTCAATTTTGCTTCATGAGAAATTGATTGAGCCTGGTATTGATTCCTGCAACAGTCTTCAAGTTTCCTGATTTCCGTGAAAAAAATTACAGCAGTGGTCCCTGCTGTGGAGGGTTTGGAATGCTGAATTTTGTGGTATGGTAGGTACGGTATATTGCCGTTTAGAATCCCATGTTTGCGAAAGAAGCATGTCAATGGCCATACCACGTTGAAAACACCCGTTTTCGTTTGATCACGGCAGTTAAGCAACGTTGGGCCCGGTTAGTACTTGGATGGGAGACCGCCTGGGAACACCGGGTGCTGTTGACTTTTTCCTTGTTGTTGTTGAAGAAAAAACCTGAACAGTCTGTAGTCATGTGTTCGTTCAAGTATCACATTTTGCGATTACAGTATTATTTATTTAGTCAACCAGGCACTTGGGTTAGCGGGACTTGATATGATGTGAAGTTTCAATTTTTATTAATTTTCCACTATCTTTTTCAAGCTGCAGATGATTTTTAATCATTTTCTAGGCACACTGCAGTTCGTTTTCTAGATTAGGATTTTTCTTTGCTAGTACCATTGTGCTTTGTGTCAAAGTGAGCAAGTCCGTTTTTAATTTCTATGTCAGCTATTAAGCCACTAGATTATAAGGAAAAAAAATATATTTCGCTAATTTTTGTTGTACTAGTGAAACTCTGAATTTTGTGGTACGATGTACAGTAATATTGTACGATTGAATCCTGTCTCTGTGACATTGGTGTATGTCAACGGCCATACCACGTTGAAAGCACCCGTTCTCGTTTGATCACGGCAGTTAAGCAACGTTGGGCCCGGTTAGTACTTGGATGGGAGACCGCCTGGGAACACCGGGTGCTGTTGACTTTTTTCCTCTCTTTAGCTGAAATTTCAATTTGAATATCTGCCTAGCCTCTCGTTAGCTGTCCTTTTTTTCGTTCGTATTCTCATTTAAATGTGTGTCCTTTTAATACCAAGGTAAAAAAAAAAAGCTGGACAAAAGTCTGAAACACTGTGGATTCTATAACCTGTTCGACTCAGAAAACTAAATTTGCGAAATTTTTCTCCATGTTCAAGCTGTCAAGAAAGATTTAATCATTTTATGATGCTCACAAGAAACCAGTTGTTTATTTTTCAAAATTCACTGCCTTAGCCTATTCAACGTCTCCATTTTAACGAAGTTTCAGCGTTTATTTACGTAGTACATACAGTATTGGAATTATCTTCACAAAAGCAGCGTTTATATATTGGAATTATCTTCTCGAAAGAAAGCTGAAAAGTCCGTTTTCAGTTTCAATGTCTCTTATTATAAAGCTTACACCGTGTTCAAAATTTTTTGCTTGCCGCCGAGAATCCGTCTTTGTTAATGAGATACTGTCCTTTATAATGAACGAAACGCAAAAATCTCTTCAGTATTTTGCTTGGAGTACTAAAATAATTGATGTGATTATATGCGCTTGTCGTCCAGAAAAATCAGCACAGTACAGTTCTAAAATACAATGAGTAATTTTCCTTCAACAACACAAAGGGTGATTTGGGGAAATTCGCGATGGAGCCAAAAATCAGCAGATGCCGACATAGATGTAAAATTTTAGAGCTTATATTATCATCAAAGTGAAATAAGTACATGATGGGAGAAATACCATGTCTAGAATCTCTTTTTTTCTAACCTCAACTGGGGTTTCAGAGGTTTCAGAAATTCAGTGCCCAAGAATATCTTTGTTTACTCTGGCTGTTCTGGTTCTTTTGTATTCAAAGTGAGAGATAATCTTGGCAGAAACTATGATCTTGATTTTAATTAATGGACCCATTCAGTATTGCTTTATTTACAGATTTTCAAATGGAGCCTTCATTACTGTTGTTTAAATTAAAGTACTGTACCATATTTACTGGAGTGACTTCAAAAGTTGAGACCAAAGGCTGGGTTTGCGCATCAAGTTTCAGTATAATCTTCTTCTTCAAGATTTTCAGCATTCTTGTACAGTATTATTATCCTTGCATCACATAACAAGATAAATTAGAAAGTAGAAGCAATCAGATTCTTCTTTCATTTGATCATTGATCAATGAATTTGGCTGTTCTATAATTCTTGAATTTTAGCCATTTTCACTGAAAACTGTTTCTTGTGCAGAAACAAGTTTTTACTCAATTTGGCAGCACAAACAAGAAGTTCATTGAATGAATGAATGAACAGAACACTTTATTTGCCGCTTTTCAGCATTCACATACAGGGATTTTTACAAGGCTGCACATGGTTGTTGGGATTGAGACAAATTGTTTTTAGGTGGCAGGAAGGAGATGTTTTCACAGTAGACAAAATCAGGGACTAGACGCGAAAAAAGAAGTTAACGTATGGAACGTCAGGAGATACAAGCAGACAACCAGCAGCTGGTGAAGTCTGGTCTCACTTTCAAGACACTTGATCTTCTCGACAAATGGTTGGGATGGGGGTTATTTGGTGCTCGGGCAAGTTGTTGGCCCCAAAGATGGGTTTGTATTTATTATCGGCAATTTTTGTAGGGCTGTGACACTTTCGTTTTACGGCCTTGTTGAAGGGATAATTTGCTGCTACAGGCGCGTCCCGGGACGCGCCAATTAACAAAGACTCGTAATTTCTGAACTTCCTCTGTTTTCAGAAAAAATTCCGCACAAAATCCCCAAAAGGCTGAAATTCTTCAAAATTCCTCCTGAATCACAAAAAAGAGTAATCTTATTCCCTCAAATAATTTTTGTTTATTTTAAACCCACCTTCATTATTACGACGACGGTTTATAATCACTAGCATGTTGGTAAAATTTGTCACATTTTTATTTCCTTTGCCTTTTGATGTATCTTTCTTGAAAACTTGGTTCTTTTTCTTTTACAGATCCAGGGACTTTGTCATTTGACAAGGGATGTTACGTTGTCAGAGGAACCTGTGGCACAACATCAATTCCAGTCATAAGAAGAAATGGAGTCGATGGGGTCGTGAAGGTTCATTACAAGACTGTGGAAAAGTCGTCGGCGATAAGTGGGAAAGATTATATTCCTCAAGAAGGAGTTCTCGAGTTCAGACACGGAGAAGTACTCAAAACGTGGCGTTTTCCCAATTTTTAATGCATTCGTATTCATAAATGATTTCAGACTAAATTAGCGATCAATGTCCCCATCATCAACGACTTTCACCCGGAAAGAAATGAGCATTTCGAAGTTCAGCTGTTTGATGTTGAAGGCGGCGCAAGCCTAGGGAAACTCTGTTCCACGATTGTCACGATCGTCAACGACGATGGTAATGATTTCTTTGAATTTAATTTATCGTATTTATGCTGCTGTAAAAAACAAACTTGTATGATATAGTGCAGAATAAGTAGAAAACAGTTCACGATATTTTCAACAATTTTAGAAGCTTTTCCTGATTAGAGGGTTCTGTCGCGTCCCAAAGGGAAGCAGCTCCAGCATCCAGTTGTAATCGGACCCAAAAACTTTTTGGATTTCTGAGGCCAGTGAGTCTTGCAAAAATCCTGTCTTTGCCAGACTCACTGAGCCTCAATCAAGGACAAGAAGTGGCCATCACTTCTTTGATTTAATTGAAATTGGCCAATCCTGAGCCAGGAAGAAATCACCTGATTTCTTCCTTACCCAGTCCAAGCACCTGGGTATAAAAACCCTCATTCCTCTTTGAGAGAAGAAATCAGAACCTAGTGTTAAAGGGCCTTTAACTTTTAATTACCTCATTCAATATTCTAAGCTAACCATTGACTCTGCCATTAAAACAATTGAATTAACAGCAAATTGATGAACTGGGCAATGAGAATGAACTCCTCTGAAAAGAGTTTGAGTTCTTATTCAAAACTTGCATTCTGATGACTGGACAATTAAATTCCTTTGCCTCGGATCCAATGGACCCATGACAGGTTCTAACAAAAGTGCTCATAATAGGAATTAAAATGGCGCACAATCAAGCTGGAAAAAATTATTCGTTAGGAAAACATATTCTTTGGCACCAAAAAAAAGCAGCCCTTTTGGCATTTTTTTAATGTTTTGCAAAATTCCCCTTGGCAGAGTTTTCTCTCTGCTCAACAGATGAGGCGCCCTTTTTGTTGTTTTGTTTTTGCCCAGCTTTCCCCTCAGAATTTTTGAAATCAACCTGGCATTAATTCTAAGGGTTGCCTCCAGGTCTTCCATAGTAATTCCGCCATTTTCATCAACAGCCACCTTCATAGCCGGCATACTGGCCGCCACTTTGGCGGCTGTGAAGCATATTTCAGGGTATACTCCTTTATCAATTCACCGGTAATTCATATTCGGAAAATTCGAATGAACTGAAAAAAATTGTGAACTGTGACAAGAAAAATTAAGACATGCTATCAGTCATTTTAATCACGAAATTGATCGCTACTGTTCCACCAGGGAAACTAAATCATAGTTCAAATACGCGTCACGTTTGTTTAAATCAATGCAATTATTCGGCCGCGTATTTCCTCAGTTTTTTTATACAGCTGACCCAAAAATTTTTTTTCTCTGAAAAAATGCAAAGATTTTGAGCCGGTGATGAAGAAAATGATGAGTATGACGACGGAAAACTTGGAAAAACTGCAACTGTTTCACAAGGCGTCTTGGGTAGCTCAAATACGCGAAGCATTGAATGTGAACAGTGGGTACATTGATACAGCTACTCCATTGGATTATTTGGCACACGTTTTCACTTTTGGCTGGAAGGTTGGTTCCATACATTTTATAGAATGTTTCGGAAATTTAAAAATTCAATTTTTCTCGACGGATTGAATCATTTTGAAATCACTTTTTTACTGCTGAAGGGTTTCAACTTGAAGTATGTTTCAGGTGGAATTTTTTTTTTTAATTTCACTTGCTGACATGGAACTACTGTACTTGAGATTAATGCTACATCACCCCAGTTTGAAATTGCTGAAGTTGAATTGTTATGAATTGGTGAACTACTCTTGTACTTCGAAACAAATTTTAATCATACTAGAATGTTATTCATAATACAAAAGTCACTCACAGTGTCACCGATTACATTGAAAAAGTAGCTCAAGGAAAAGCTGAAAAAGTGATTTTTCGAAATCCTAGACCAGAGCATAAACAATATTGTACTTCTTTCCTACATTTTTGTGGACTTTTGTTGATAAATTTAAAGGGCTTCAACTTAGTATTGCAGTAACTTAATTTTGGAGAAGCAGCAAATTCTGGAAGCACAAAAAGTTACTCGCACAGTATAATTATAATGACGGTTATTGCAAGGATTTTTAGTGGTTAGTTTTAGCTTTGGTGGCTTTCAACACAACATTGCAACATACAAAACCATTGAACATTTAGGTCTTGGTCAACAAAATGCACATTTTAATGTAATTTCAACCTGAAAAAAAAACTTCAGGTTTATAATTAAGGATCCTGCATTGGCTTGCAAACAGGTATTCAGCTCATTAAAATGTTTTGGGGCACAATTTCAAAATCAAAGGCAAAACTTCAAAATATCCTTTTACCTTTGATGGGTGGTGCCAGGTCCTTTTCCATTGTATGGCAGTGGGATTTTTTTGCAGGCTTCTGCATTTTTGTTTGACCAAAGGTCACCAAAATATAACTTTGGCTGAGTGGCTGAAGTTGGGAAAAATCCAGGAAAGGGGAAGCCATCATTCTGATAATCCCCAATGCTAATCCTTATGGCAGGAATGCAGAAAAAATGCCACCCAGCAGTAAATTTTTCTGTTTTGATGAACATTTTTCTCCAGGAATGCAAAAAAAAATATTGGGGCTTTTCCCAACTTTTGCTCTTCTAATCATCATTATTTTCTAGATTTTAAAAATCCTTGTGGCACAAAATTTGGCAGATATATCCTGGCACTGCTGCCTAAGGGTTAAAAAGGATTGGATTTGATCAGATTTATTGTGCAAACATTAAAGTTAATGAGCATAACCCTAGAAAAATGGTTTGTTTTGACCAAAGCCACAGCTGGACGGTAAACTTGTTTTACAACGAAGCCATCATAACCTGGAAGAATTCTATTTTCATAAAAAATATTGGATAAAATTGTATTTATTGTATTGTAACCTAAGAATATAATTTCTAGGAATAGCAAGCATGTTTTATAGCCCGATCTGTCATGTATGACAACATAACTGTATGCGATTCACAGGTTATTTTCTGCTTGGTACCTCCAGTGGAAATATGGGGAGGCTGGCTGGCATTCTTCGTATCCTTGACCTTTTTAGCAATGCTAACAGCTGTTGTGGGAGACTGTGCTTCAATATTTGGATGCTTGGTTGGTCTCAGTGATGAAGTCACAGGTATGATATAATTTCCATTGTTGATAATGTCTGCTGTCCTTCTGACGGCAGTGTATAGATTTCACATTTTAAACTTGAAATACTGCATTGCAATGGGAAGAGGTCGAATGTAACAATCACAGTGGAGTACAACAAAATTCGGCACTGTTATGGATCATTAAAAACACACGACAATATATTCGAGTACATACGCATTATATTCACTGAGGTAGCTTCTAGAAAATCTGAACTTCTTGAAAACTGTGTAAGAACACCTGTTAAACGAAACTACAATTGTGTCTTTCAATCAAGAACCATGTTGACTTTGGAAAGCTTAACAATTAATCGGCTCGAATTTTTGAAAGCTCAAACATGAGAATTTAGAATTGTTCAATAGATCAGAAAAAAATTCTGCTGAATGAAAAAAACGCATGAAAATTCCAGTTTTAGAGACACAAAAAACATAACTTGACTGTCAATATTTCTGGCGCTGGAAGATCAATAAGATTCTAGACGACAGCGGATGTAAACATTGAAATTAAATAATAATTGCATAATTTCTGCTAATTTTTTCCCATCACAAGGACCGCACTACCTTATTGTCTCTCCATCCTTGAAATCTTGGAATTATCCTCCTCTTTTTGTATTAAGAACAAGATATATTCTTCATTATGATTATAATGAAAAATTCGAATTTCTTGTTTACTTTTTCTCCTTTTATTTTACATGCTTAGCTTCTGAAGATTGGATTCCTTTATACACCTAGTCTATGATCTCTAAAATGTACAACAATCCAATAATTACATTCCAATTCTTCCTGATCTGTAAGAAAATCCATGGATTTTATTTCCAATTCCAGCAATTGCTCTGGTTTCGGCTGGAACTTCCTTGCCAGATACTTTCGCATCCATGTCTGCAGCACGACAGGAGAAGTTTGCTGATTTGGCTATCGGAAATGTCACCGGTTCTAATTCCGTCAACGTGTTCCTGGGACTGGGTTTACCCTGGATGATCGCAGCAATTTACCATGGCTATCATGTACGGTATTTAACTGGAATCTTTATAGACTTGCTCAACTATTTACACATTGGTTCATAAAAAAAATTACAGGCTTTCAAGGAAAGTACTGTATCAAGAAATAAGAAATGCACAGGGGATCAGCTTAAAGGGTGCAGGAAATATTCGCATTACTATTTTGACCTGATTATTCCAGGGAATTAAAAGAACAGGAACTAGACGTGTGAATTTACCCTATTCCGTAAATTTTATGAGTCCAATTTCCCACCAATATGAACATGATCTAAAAAAAGTTGGTGAAGGCAAGGTTATTCATCAGAAATTTTTTTTCTACTGTACTACTAACATATTCAATTTCGACGCAAATTGACACCTTCCACTGGAGTATAAATTAAATGCTCTGTACGCTGGGTTATGAAATATTGTTGCTTGAAAATCTTTCGAATAACTTCTGCTCCAAATTGGAATTTTAAACTTATTTTCTTTTCAGGGAAGAAAATTCAGAGTTCCTGCCGGATCTTTGGCATTCAGTGTGACTGTTTTCACGGGATGCGCCACAATCACAATCGGATTGCTTTATGCCCGAAGATTTTTCAACTTTTTTGGAAAAGCTGAGCTTGGCGGACCTACTGTGCCAAGATACGCGTCGGGCATTTTTATTTTCTCTTTGTGGATCTTTTATATTGTATTATCGTCGCTACAAGCTTATGGTCACATAGGGAGTTTCTGATTAAACTGGAGAGGGCATTCATCCATTTCACTGATGAATATTTGTTGATAATGGTGTCTCTGTCAAAATTTTGAGTGTTTTCAAGAAATGTTTTATGTAGTGTATTTGATTCTGGGGAAAATATCAATACTGTTGTATGATTTGAAAGAAAGCTCAGCTGATTTCATAATGAAACCATTCAAAACATGTTTACCAATGATACAGTCTCACAACTTTGGGAGGAAAATGTGTTGCTTTACTGCTGTAAACACATTGTAAATATAAACTAATCAGAAGCTTTTTCCCCTATCCAACTGTTTTTTATTCGAAAAAATTATCCACCTGCTGTTTGAATCAGCTTGCCAACTACAGTATTTACCTCAACCCAGCAAATAATTTTCTACATCCAGGGCACTGTGTAACAGCTATGCATAGCAAAATGCATTTTCTATGCATAGCTAGTTACACCCAGCTTTTTCTGCTATATGCATTGACAATTTCCACATCAGGCTTTCAGGTCTGATGTGGCAATAATTAATCATTCACTGCATTGAGAAGGCATAATAAATGAAAAATAGTGCAATGCCTATTACTGCAACACCAAAAATTATATTATTTATCATTTATAAATAATACTAATCAATCACAATTTATATTATTCATTGACATATTATACAGTAAGAGCTTCTGCAAGCAATTGATTGAGTAGACACTCTGGCTTAGAAAGCACTAGTTGGTTGGGCAGGTCTTATGCAGAAATATGCAGCCAATTTGGCAGACAAGTGCATCAAGGAGGTTTGGATTGTGAATGACCAGCATGGGATAATTATTGGGCTTGAGCAATTTTTAAATTTTGCAATAGTCTTTGACAAGTCTGCACCATTTCATTGCCAACACTGTAGGGTCCATACAATGTTGTGGTGTGAGGAACACAGGAGAACTATAGGGAGAATTGGTGGGTCCAAGTATCCCTGTTAATTTTTAATTGGCAAGAATTTTGTGAAGAGGGTTTTGTTTGTCATGGGATTGATGGAAATGTTTAGAGATTGGAGAAGAGTCTCCTATCAAGGGGAGCTGTGCTATGTATTGTGGGAAGAGGCTTTGTTGGCCACTACATTGAAATATGTTGTTGTAGAATTGAGCTAGAAGCACCATCATGATGGCATGGTTTGGTGCTGACCCATTGATGTAGGTGATTTGTTTGCCAATTGCACAGGATGGCTTTTCTGTGACTGGGTGGATTGTGCAAAATCCTGAGAAGATGAGCATACCATGGAGAGTGATGGCAATTGGGATGGTGCTGAGAATGTTGCAGCCAAGATTGATGGGGACGGAATGCTTTTGGAGCACAAGAAAGGTCACAGGATGAGTGGTTGCAAACAAGAAAGTTTGTACTTACCAACTCTGTGATAGGCAAGGAGATTTATGTGACCCCAATGGCAATTGATGCAGTCAATGGTGACATTGCAAGATGCAGGGTACAAGCAACGTTGGCTGCAGTGAATGACTTGTGTGCAAAATCAAATGTCCCACCCCAACTATTTTATAAATGAGAGGTCATGAGACAGATTTGTGCTTGGAGGATTGAAACTTGCCAATTGGTTGGTGCGCAACCAACCTGAGGGATCTGAAAAGATCCCAAAATAAGCACACAGTATATTTTTGTATGCACACGTAAATATTGCAAATCCGCAAGCTGAACAAGAAAGGTGAAACCCCTCAGAGTATTTTTTAAATCTTGCAAAGTAAAAATGGCACACAAAATTTGTAAGAGGTTTTTCTGACAGCAAGATGTTTGTCCCATGTGGTCTCTGCTTCAAAGAAGTCTGATGATGTTTGGGATTTTTTAGTCCCATTTATACCTGTTAAAAATAATTGGCAAGGTGTGCCAATGTTAAGCAGCAGAGGTAGTTGCTGCGAGGGTCTAACAAGGAGGTTAATAAATCTCTAGTTTTCCTTCCAAAAATGGGAGTTTTTTTCCCATTTTGATTGGCAACATCTGGCCAGTCAGGCGCAGTTTCCCACAAAGCGGGAGGCTTTGTGCTTTTTTTAACAAAGATCTGGAGAGGAATTGCTTCCTTTCTGAGTTTTGTTCCCACCCGTTAGGGTTTGTTTTCACTTTTGTGAGAGGGTGATTTTTCTTTGTATGCATTTTTCTGAGTCGGGTTTTATGGCCTGGTTCAGAGGTTTGTTTATGACCCCCAGCAACAGCCAATTTATTGCTGTTGCTGGTTTTTGGCAGTTGCGCGGACCATTGTGCCTGCGCAGAATTGTCATAACCGTTGTTTCCCCCCTTTTGTTTCTTACAACTTGGAAGTACCGGTGGTTATTAGGGCAGTGCATTTGTTGCTCTGAATGGTAAGAAGCACAGTAATTCTGTCCTGGGCAGCCTGTGGCATGGGTATGGAACAGAGCGCCCCTGTCACTTGGACATAGCATCCTGTTTCCTGGTGCTGTGCAGTTGGTGGCAATGTGGTCTGCTTTGGAACAGATAATACATGAGAGTGGTTTTTTAGTAGTAGTTCTGGAGGTACAGTTGAACCAATGTGAGTCAAATTTCTAGGGACCAGGAAAAAAATTCAACTTAGGGAGGTTTCAACTTATAGGGAGGTTTTGAGTATTGCAGGTTGTGAATTATGAAAAAATAATTATTGCTGTGAGGATTAGTAAAAAAAAATGCAGGAAATTGTAAATGGGGAGATTCTGGGCACAACTTGCCTCTTGATGAGTTTACACTGTGCTGAACTTGGAAGCAGGGGCTCATTTGCTATATTTGTCTTTCAATTCCTTTCAAGATGCATCAAAGTATTTGTTCAATCATTTTCTCTTTCATATTTCACAGAAGTAATAACCAGAAGGCCTCAGAAAAATTTGACTCACAGAGGTTTTAGAACAAAAGAATTTGAGTTTGGGAGGCTTTAATGTATTGATTTTAAGAGAATTTGGACAGGGACTTGAAAAAATTCAACTTAGGGAGGAATTTGACTTACAGAGGTTCAACTTATCAAGGCGGTTCACCTGTACTTGCTGTTGCATCTGGCTGATGCATGCAACACTTTTTGGTTTTGTGCAACAAAACCACTTTGGTGGTTTGCACACCAGTGAGTTGGAGGCAGCTGGCCTGTGGCCATTGAGAATTCATCCAAATTGGGGCTGCCCATCAATTGTGATGAGTGCAGAAATGTAATTTCCTTTTGGGCCCTGTGCTGGTCAAGGAGGATCCTGACTCTGATGTTGGATGCACACTTGGTCATGGTCTTTTTGGCTAGTTTGTGGTGGGGCCCCAGTGGAACATTGTGAAGGCACTTGGGTAAGATAGGCAAGATTTGACAACTTAATTGTCAAAGAAATTCATCCCATGTTATATCAGGATCTGCTAGGGCTCTTCCTTGCATGAGGGATGCTATTGCTCCTTGAATTGTGGTTAGGAACTGACTGATCAGTGTGTGTGTGTGATGGGCACCTTGTGCATGTTATGAGCTGTCTCCAGAATTGGGAGGTATTTGAGATATGCCTGCTTGCGGCAATATCTGAAGTTGATGTAGGTTTCTGTTGTGAGTGGCATGAGTGTCTGGAACCAGTGGAAATGTTTGAATCATGATTTTCCAAACTGGGCTATGAGCCTGGCTGCATGCACTTTGAATGTTAGGTTTCCTCATTTGTACTGCATGTTTGCAACAGAAGCAACATAAGGTTGTGTCAGTCTGAGCAAGCATTATACTTGTTTGGAAGAATTTTGTGATTGAAAATGTTTAAGAGTATCCTTGTTGATGTGTAGTCTAGGTAGATCAACCATGGTTATAGGTGCTGGAGCATGGCAAGGGACTGTGGGTTATGCCAATGGTGGGGAGTTCAGAAATACTGCTTTGAGCTAGAAACCTTGGGCTTGAAGTACATCTGTGTAGTCTTGATGCTTTGTGCCTGTGCATGGGTGTTGTTGATTCTGTGTAACAAAATATTGGACAAACATTGCCTTTGTGAGGCAGCTCCAGGGTGAATCTAGGCTGACCAGATCATCAGGAGTGCTGAGGAAGTCTTCCAAGCTGGGCTGGTTGGATGACTCTTGCATTGTGCTTGGCTGCAATGTGATTCACTTTGCTTGGCACATTTTTTGGCTTTTGACAAGCCCACAGAAAGAGCTTCCACAAGTGATTGATTGAATAGACACTCCAGCTTGGAAGACACCAGTCAGTTTTTCTTTCATCTAGTTGTTCACAGAAGGCAAATATGCAATGTATAAAAATGAGATTTGCATAGAGTGGTCAGGGAGCAAAAAGTTAGGATGTTCAATGGTTTTTCAGTTTGAACAAGACTGAGGTGGAGCATTCTAGCTTTGCTGGCTTAGGCTTGCCAAGCAAGTAGAAAGGTTGAGGATGCAAAAGCACACTTTGTGAAAAAAAGTTAGGGTGTTTGCAACAGATGTTGCTGGTGCTTACTATGTATTCATATATTGTATTTTATATTCAAATATACATGTTGAAGCTGCAATGAGAGGTTGCTCCCTGCACAGCGCAATGTAGATCTACGTTGCAACTGTCACAGCTGCAGCAGATGACACAGCAAAACGTAGATCTACATTGCAACATTGCAACTTCAAATAAACTCGCAACATCTCCTCCCCTGTGTTTTGTCATGATTCTAAATCAACATGATGGAAACTATCAGTCCAATAACAATAGATTTGTGTTGTTGAGAGGCTGAGTGAAGCCAGTGGAAGTGGTTTCTTTGTGCATTGTTTATCAAGAGTCTTATCTGTTGAATTTAGACAAACTTTTCATCATTGAGCTGTATTTTTTGTCAATTCTGGTTTGATTTTTGGTGAATTTGAATTTCCCAATGCAAGGCATTTCTGTTTTATTGGTTAGCAACAGTAATGCCAAGTTGGCAAGGCTGGCACCTTTGAGTCAGCCATCTTAGCATTGACTTCCCCTTGTTGAAGGAAATTGAGAAGGGAGGGGTCCCAGGCAGCTGCAGATGCAGCTGCTGACACTTAAGCTTGTTTTCACCCTTGTTTTGAAAGCTGTTAAGGGGATCTGGCTTCCTGTCCTTGGTGGAAGTTTTCCATCCACTTCTCCTTGACTCAGGATTTCCCCCTGGTTTAGAACCATCTCTGAGTTCTGTTTTGAGGAGGGAGGTTCTGAGTTGCTCCCCAACTGTAGGGAATTTATTCTAATGTAATTTTGTACTGTCCTGTTTGCAATTTGATTATGTATTATTTGCAATTTGTATTACAGGCAAACCGTTTGC